GGAGCGCTGGCGGCGCGGCCAGTGGGTCCCGAGCGGCCGGAAGGGGCAGAGCCGCAGGGAGCTCGCTTTGCTCGACCGTGCCGGGAAGTTTTCCGAAGTCTTGGTCGGTTTGGGTGCTCGCAGCGTTCACGGGCGCTCCCGCCTGCGAGTATGACCCCCGGCACGAGCCCAGAGGGTGGCTGGTCTTCCCTTGACCGGTAAAAAATACTTGGAAGTGTTACGGGTTCAAAGGGTGGGTGTTCTTGCATGCGTAGGATGGGGTTTTCCAGAACATGTATGTTCTTGCACAAGTCGCTTTTAGAAAGAAAGGAGGAAAAAAAAGAAAAAGTGTCGTTTTGCACCTTGGATAAAAATTGCCTCGTGCACATGGCTGACTAAGGGCACCTCCCTGTGCTGAGGAGGTGACTGATCTGATGTGAAGCACTGTCACTGATTATTGTTTTTTAAAGAGAATGCAATATTCTTAGCTGTTTGCTCACTCTTTGGGAAGCTACTTCAGACTGTTTTTCTTGGTTTCAGGAAAAATGGAGGCTTCTTCCAGCATTTCTCAAGGTCAGTGTCGCACAGTCGTTTCATGATGCAAGTGTTTCAATCCTCTCTAACTTCACATCCCTCCCAGCTGCCTTTTGCTGTCTCCCAGAATAGCTGCTCACCTTCCACTAGGGTTTTGCAATTCTTTTTTTGTTCCCTGCTTCCGTGGAATTGGGAATTAAGTTCGTTTTTTGGCTAATAGGGTTAATTTGAGGAGGCATCCTTTGCTTCCTCGGGTTGGCATTGCTTGGTATGGCCGTTCTGAATGAACAGTGTGCATGGCACAGTGTTTTCAGGTAATTTTACTGTTTCAGTGGCACCCCCAGACCCCATTTATGGTCTTTGTGGAATCTCTACGTGTACCAAGCAGGGAGCTGTGTTTGTCACAGTGAGTGTGTCACTGCAGAGCTGGTATCTGCAAAGCCTTGGCCACATCTGCCTTCATTCGTGAACGTCAGGTCTTGACTGTGACTTCAGAGGCTGCTGCTGTGGTAGGTTCAGTGCTCAGCTGCTGGCATCTGCTTATCAAAAGCAGAAGGGGAGCTATCTTGTCTTGTGAACACTGATGAACCCGGAATGTTTTCCTGCCTGTGACAGGCTGTGCAGTGTTGCTGCTGCTGGCGTGTCCCTGGCAGGGCACCAGCTCTGCGTCTCGCCCGCGCTGCTGCGGGGGCTGCTCTCCAGGCCAGCCCTACCTGCTCGCTCGTTTGGGTTCTTCTTTGTCATCTTCTTTTTTTGTTATTTTTACATCTGTATTCCTCTGTTTTCTGTTTGGAGTTTTGAATCTTGCAGCCTTTTAGCTGTAGTTGATTCTTTAAAGCCTAGCATGTAAGCACGTGTCTCTGCATTTGCCAGCCCTTGACAGTCTGATGACGGGCGGCCTCGATGAGCAGCCGGCGGGGTGGACTGAACCCCGGCTCAGCGGCCGAGCTTGGGTTGCTGTGCCCAGTGGCCTGGAGTCTAAAGGGAAGCCAGAAACAAGCAGTGCGCCCCAGGGGCCGAAATTCTTCAAATGAAGGATTTTAGTGGAGATACAAAAATGCTTATCAAAACTTAATTGCTTATGTCTTTCACAATGAGTGTTCCTGAAGCTGATTTTATTTGCTGCATGCATTTTTGTTTTATTATTTTTCCTAGGTGAAAGGACTCGTGAAGCAGCACATAGATTCATTCAACTACTTCATCAATGTAGAGGTATGTTTTCTTGGTGGCAGGAGTGTGGCTCTGTCCTCAGAAAAAAACAAGTAACTTGATTCTTTTCCCTGTTTCAGATAAAGAAGATCATGAAGGCCAATGAAAAAGTTACAAGTGATGCTGATCCAATGTGGTACTTGAAGTAAGTGTAAAACTGACTTATATATCGGGAGTAGAACACATACTATCTCACAGGTTTGTCGCTGAATATAAAATGTATAAATTTGTGTAAAATGATATAAATAGACATTTGTATGAATATAAATCAAGAGAGTTTCCTGCATGACTTTGCTGTTATTTAATGCGTAAAAAGATGTGGAGGCTTAAAAAACAGGCCTGTTAAGCAGAGTTGTTAGCCAGTTGTTAAGAGTACTTCATATTACTGTTTTTCTGTAATTCGGTAATCTGGGACAACAGGATTGTTTATATCTGTTGGCAAAAGTTATGCTGTGTGCACAAAAAGCCCCAAGTTTATTTTAATGTAGGTCGAATACAATGGGTTACTTTGGGAAGAATTGTTGCTTGCTGCTATCATTGGTATGTTCAGCAAAAGAATTTCATTTTTCATTATACGCTCTCTTCTCCCGTCATGTTGCTGGAAGAATACTTGGGTCATTGCTCATTTTGGAAATGTTTGTATTGCAGGTACCTCAATATCTACGTGGGTACTCCAGATGTGGAAGAAAGTTTTAATGTGACACGGCCTGTATCACCTCATGAGGTATTAATGATTCCATCTGAATCTTTTTTTTTCTTCTTTTTTTTTTTTTTTTTTTTTTTTTTTTTT